CGTTTTCCGTTTTCGGTTAGGTAGGGTACGGTACGTTAGTCGCTAGGTCGGTCGTGTAGTTGTTCGCGAAGAAACGAAACAACACTTACTTACTACTGGTACGTCTCTCTCTCTCTCTCTCTCTCTCTCTTATCTTTCTTATCTCTCTCTCACGCACAGACACACACACACACAGAGGTACAGAGCTCGTGTTGCTTTTCTTCTTGTTAGATAAGGAACATGCATTGGCTTGCCCAAAGCACATCTTTACACCGTGAGACTCTCTCTCTCTCTCTCACACACACACACTCGCACACACAGAGCCACACACAACACACGTATGTGCAGACTTTTTTGTTGACTGAGATCTATGCTTAGTTTGTGATGAGTTGTAAATCCTTCTAGCTTAAAAGAACTTCAAGAAGATGCTACATGTGAACATTCTCTATTGTAATTCCAAGGGATCTCCTCGCTCTTCTATTTTGGCCATACTGCCTTGCTATTAGTTAGTAATTACATTTTGTGTTACAAACATGACAAATATTTTTGTGCATGAGGGTCCTGGAAGCTAATCCATTGTTGTGGCTCTTGCAAAAGTTTGAATCAAATCGAATTTGGTATGAGTGTTGTCCCATATTTCTTTATCTAGAATCTCTTGAGCTCTTTTGGATTTTTTATTTATCCTAATCCTAGATGAATCCCTACACAAAATGTTTTTGAATTTATCTTATTGCCCAATACCCTTATTGTCTGTCTGAACTTGTAAGATCACTGTTGTTCATTCTTAATTAGGGTCTTTGTCCATTCGGGAGGCTTCCTTTTTCCCCTGCTGGCAGTGTTAATACTGTAAAGAATTAAGCATCGCATGTTCTTTAGGAGAATTGGATGTGGGAGCTTGAGTGACAAATGTTGGACCCATTATTCCCTCCACTAAATGTGATTTTGGGAGCATTGGATTTACAACTCTCTCTTTGTGATCTATACGGATTTAAGAATCTGTTTTCCTTTGAAAAATTTACCGGATAATGGATTTGAATAATTATTGCTCTCTTTTTATTGATTTGCAATTATATATTTTTTTAATGGATATGCATTGTTGCTTCCTTTTTTTTAAAATATGAAGAACATGGCTTGGCTTGGGATCCCCATTCAGTAGCGCAACATCTTGTCTCCAGAGCAGCATCACGAACCATGTTGGGAGATCCAAGTAACTAAGGCCTTGATGATTCTCTGATTTAGCAAAGAATACATATTGATTTTTATTGCTCATTGCCTTTACAAACCTCTTGGTAGCACATGAACGGCTTTTTGATTATCTTGACCAGGTAAAAGTTGTTTTAGAAGACAGGCTTTAAGTGACCTCCCTTTGCACCCTATTCCTGTACCACCCGCAAAATACTCATTTTGGGGTAATTTGGAGGAAAAAGTTGAAAAATGTCGAGCAAGCAGTGTAAATTTTGCTGTTCATAAATTGTCTGATGGCAGATAGGAAATTGTATGCGAATTCATGTCTGAAAATCTTGGGCCCTTGGGATCATAATTTACATAAGAAGGCATAAAATTGGAATTTATCTTGGTGGATCTCTTATTTTGTGCAATGCCTTCATTTTATATATTGCTGACACTCAAAAATTTTATGGGTGGATTGGACATTTTGCTTGAAGTTAAAACAATGACAAGAACAGACGTGAGTGTGCTTAGTATCTGCTAATTACTGAAGGATTGTTAGTTGAATGAAAAATTATCCCCAGAGAAGCCTTAAGCAGCTATATAGTTTAGTATGTTAGCTAGCATTGCAAATAACAAAATAGCACTTATAATATTTGCTTATTTGTGCACAAATGTCATTATCGATGTCATCAGATTGCTTTGCTTTGATCTGTAGACCACATAGTGAACATGAATTTGATGCTTTTGGACACTTTGACCAAAACACCAAATGTGGCGCTCATGAACCAGGCTCATTATGTTTGGCCTTTTTCTGCTTCATGATTATTGAAATCCATCTCTCAGGCTAAATGTTTTTGTATTTATATATTTTTGTGAAATTAAAGTTCACTAGTCCTCCTTGGAGGTGACTAAATTGTGGAAGTGTTTATCTACCCTGCCCAAATTGAGGCAGGTTCTGAAGCAAATTTTAGGATGTTGTTTGTTATAGCCTTTCGAGTGATACCCAATTAATTAAGTCTAAGAATACATGTGTAATTGGCCCCTTAACAATTGTAAATGTGCAGCATATCATTTTGTGTAAAGGAGTTACTTTTATTTTGGTTTTTTTTTTTTTGAGGAAAGAAGGTTTATTTGTGTGCACGAACTTTCGTTCTTTTACCATCGATCATGCAAAAGTTGACCAACTTCTTGATCAATTATTTTTGCTCACCATCCATGCCCCCCATATAGGTTATAATATCCGAGGAATTGGAAGCCGGTTTCGATGACGAGTTACTAAGACCTGGGTATTATTGATTGTTGATAATGGATAGGTACTGATGCTCCAGCTGCCTTCAATAACAGGGCTGGACAAGTTTCACATAGTGTAGTTCTTGAAACCTTCAATGTTGCAGATCAAGGTGATGTGGTACCTGATGTTTCTCGGGTCAGTTTCTTAACTCTTTGGTTTTGGAAAATTTGGTGGACTCCATTTTCAATGCAGAACATCTAAAAGCTTGTTGCTATCAATGATACAACATCAAAAAATGTTTTATTTCTGATATACTTGGGCCTGTTTGACAGTTACTTGGAGCAGTGCTGAATTCTTTAGGAATGGAGAATTTGATTGTCAACAACAATGGGGCTGGAAATCAAGCATCTAGTACTGGGGTCTGTTTTGTGTTTTTATCCTTACTTGTGCTTTGACTATAGTTTTCATTTAGTTTAACTTTCCTTTCTTTCTGTTTTCTTTTAATGTTCTCTTACATTCCTTTTCTCCTTTTGTTTGTGCTTCAGTCAAGTGATCCTAGTCAGGCTCCTCGTGGAGCTGCAACAAATGGAACATCTGGGAATACGAGTGGCAGGAGTCGAGAATCCAACCAAGCCCATCCTGCCCATACCCCTCCGAGCTTTCCGTTCCCATCAGGTTATCAATATTTTCAAGCGCCACGTCCTGGGGCAATGGCTGTTCCTTTACAAGCTATGGTAGTGAGATTTCCTTTTCTTTCTTATTAACCTTAGGACTTGTTATGGGAAGTTCACTATAATCCTTAAAAGCATGGGAAAAATAATAATCCCCAGGATCATCACCATCTAGTCATCATCATAGCCTTATCCCAACTATTTGGGGTCTGCTACACGAATCATGTTCTGCCATTTTGCTAGATCAAGGGCTATTCCCTCAGCGAGACTAAATCTAGTAAAATCATCACCATCTACTAAAATCATAAAATGGATGGGGAAGCCCACCATTGTGTTCTTGTCTTTTCCATGTGGATCCCACTCTCTCTGCATCATTTCTGTGGGAGATGATGACACTACTCACTGTTTTTTTCTGTGTGAAAAGATTCTATGGTCTAGCTTGACCACTTAATTAGGTAGCAGTTAAAATATAGCACACTAGTATGGTGGAAATAAAAAAGTGTAAGAAAAGATCAATACCTAGGAAGAAAGAGAAAGTTGGAGACCTCGATGAGAGAAGGGAGAGAGAGTGATGTGGCAAGAAGAGGAGAAATAGAGTCACGGTGGCATCTGATCTGATCACCACGCCCCACTTAAATCCTTTTTTCAATAACATAAATAATGAAGTACAAAAATGTCCCTTAGGTAAGGAATGGCAAAAATGTCCTCAGGGATTTAAATACAGGAAGAAATAGATTAAAAACTAGAATATTCACAACAGTCTGGCCCCCAAAAAGCACAGTTAGGGGTTTTTATTTTTATTTGAAAGTTTCAGGTCGCATATTTTATTCCCTCAGATGTGCGGTTTACAGTCGGTTGATTTGGTTTGGAGCATATTTGAGCTCCCTCTTTCCTTTTTTTTTTTTTTTTTTATTTTTTTTAAATTTATAGTTTTTGAATCAAGGATTCGAGATGATCTTTGTCATGATTAGAAATGAGCTGAGATTTTTCAGATATAAAAATCTTCTGATGCTTTTTGGGGGGTTCGACTATGTGTTGTTGGTGGTCTGGCAGAATGCCTAATACATTCCTTTGTTCTATTGAAATATTACTCTTACGGGTGGCTTTTTCTGATTACTGGTATTGTCTTTGATTTGATATTAGGCCATCCCAGATGCTCTGACAGCACTTTCTGGTTTCACGAGTCGCATGGAGCAGGGATTCGTGCTCAGTGGTGTGAATATTGTTGAATAAACTTTTCCATTTTTTCTTGAAAGATAAGATTAAGTTGGGCCATTGGTTAACAAATTTCATTTTGTTTTCTGTTTCATCCAGGCTTTAGTCATCAGTCTTCATCTCCTGCACCTTCTTCTAGTGCACACAGTCCACCAAGTTCTGGAAATTTTTCCAATTCCAGAGGATTGCCAACACCTGAACTGTTGGGAGCTGTTATTCGACAGGTGCAGCAACTTCTTAGTGGTCGTGCTGGAGCTGCACTTTTGGTACACTCTTATCTCTCCTTTTTCCATAATGTGGGCTTTCAGTCATATTGGTGCATTTATGTATACATGCAATGAAACTGTCGACATGTATTCTCATATATGAAATGTAGAACCAGATATGTTTCTTCATGACATGCTATTGCTGTCTTTGAACCATAACAAACACTTGTATATAGTCTGTGGTTCATGATCCTTATAATTTTTAAATCAATCTATGTAGATAGGACCATCACTAGGTATTTTAATTATCAAAAAAATATTAGGACAACTACAATGAATGATGACCATTCTACTATTCCTCGAATTGGATCCAAACATCCCAAACTAGTACAACTAAGCCAAAATTCCTTATCTAAGACTAGCGTACATTGGCCATTTCTTGCAAGTATGCTCTTTTACTTCTACCAGCCATCTGAACCAATCAAAGGCTTGCTATTAATCGGCTATTCATTGTCATTAAGGGCTCGCTGAAAATTGTTTGATATAAATAAATAAGTACATGAGTTCTTGTTGCACTTTTTGAAATATATACCTTTTAAATGTGGAAGTGACTACGATTTTACGTCTATGAGAGATAACAAAAGAAGGTTTTTAAAAAGTAAACCTTCAATCTTTGATCTTTGCCCCATGGTAGATTATTCAAGAAGAAGAAAATTTTGCTTTATGGTAGTTCCCTTGATACTGCTTCCCATACAGAAGTAAAACCTATCTTCTAAAAACAGAGGAATTTCTGCCAAAGCTTTGTTGTCTCCATACCTTTTTCTTTCCCATACAGATTCCCCATGTTTGTGCCACATTAGTCTCCCAACGCTGATCCAAGACCCTCTTCACCAAGATGCTAAGGATCATGTGGATATGGCTATTGCTATGGTCAGGGATAAAGGGAGCAAGGATGCATCTTGTAATGTTCCAAAAATCCATGACATAAATATGAAAACGAATATCCTATCATGCAAAGACTGTAAGGTTATCTTAGGAGAGAGTTTGTGTCTATGCAACATAGGCTCGTGGTTATGGACTTATGCATAAATAGATGGAAGAGAAGAGGTAAAATTAATAGGTGTCCAAGAACTAGGTGGTGGAATTTAAAAAATTAAAAAATATACTTATTTGAGGATAAATGAGTTAAAGAAGGATATGGAACTCTGAACATGCGGTCATTGTTATGTGGAATGAGATGGTTGACTGTATTAAGACAGTGGCAAAGAAGTTTTCGGAGAAATTTGAGACAAAAGAAATTCCTCTAAAGAAACGTAGTGGTGGAGTGATGAGGTTCAGAAAGCCATTAGCAAAAAGGAATTATGTTATAAAACTTGGCAATTTAGTAGAAATGATCAAAACTTAGAAAAGTATAAAAATGCTAAAAAAACTCTATACAAATAATAATGTTAAACTTAAGGCATATGATTATCTATATAGTAAACTGAGAACAAAAAAAGGTGAAAAAGTTTTCTTCAAATTACCAAAATGAGAGAGAAAAAGTGTAGGGATTGAGGCCATATTAAATGCATTAAGAGTGAGGATCAAAGGGTCTTAGTGAAGGATGAAGAGGCCAAGGAAAGGTGGCGAGTTTATTTTCAAAAATTATTAAGTAACGACCACAATAGGAACACAATGGTAAAAGGAACCGTTGGCATAGATGAGGGGTGAAGTCATAGATACATTCGTAGGATTAAAATATTAGAAGTGAAAGGAGCTTTGAAGAGGATAAAGATAAGAAAGGGGGACCAGATTGTATTCCTATAGAGCTTTGTAATAGAGCTTTGGAAGTGCATGGAGGAGATCGGCATTGATTGGCTGACCAAGTTGTTCAACAAGGTGTTGAGAACAAATAAAATGTCAGAAGAATGGAGAAAAAGTATGGTACCTATTTATAAGAACAAAGGAGACGTACAAAGTTGTGTGAGCTATCAAGGGATCAAACTTATGAGCCACACTATGAAGCTATGGGAGAGAGTGATTGAGCAACGACTAAGGCATGAAACAAGTGTATTAGAAAACCAATTTGGTTTTCTGCCCGGGAGGTCCAGAATTGAGGCTATTTTCCTACTTAGAAAACTGGTTGAGACGTTTTAGGACAAAGAGAAAAGACCTCCACGTGGTCTTTATTGATCTAGAGAAAGATTATGATAGAATACCTCGAAATTTAATTTGGTGGGCGTTGGAAAAGAAAGGAGTCTCCTGATGTTATATTGGGTTGGTGATTGATATGTACAAGGGAGCGTTAACTAGTGTGCAAATAGTTAGTAGAAAGATGGATGCGTTTTTAGTGACAATAGGTCTACATCAGGGGTCAACGTTGAGCTCATACCTTTTGTGTTAGTTATGATGACTTAACTAGGCACCTACAAGATAAGGTACCGTGGTGTATGTTATTTGCGGTTGCAGACGATATAGTTTTGATTGATGAGACCTGAAACGAAGTCAACACGAAGCTAGAATTTTGGAGGGATGCTTCAGAATCAAAATGTTTTAAAATTTGCTAGACTAAGACAAAATATATGGAATGCAAGTTTAGTAATAATAGTAGAGACGATGAAGTAATTAAGGTTGAAGGCAAAAAGTACCAAAAATAACGCACTTTCGATATATTGGGTCAATAACTCTAGAAAATGGAGAGATTGAGAAACATGTCGCACAGAATTAGAGCTGGGTGAGCAAAGTGGAGATGTACAACCATAGTTTTATGTGATCACCGCATACCAATGAAGTTGAAGGGAAAGTTCTATAGGATTTTCGTGAGACTAACTTTGTTCTATGGGTCGTAATGCATAATTCAAAATGAATACATTCAGGAGAACTTAGGTGTGAACGTGTGGTTCCAATAGGTCATAAGATGAGAGAAAGTAGGCTTATGTGGGCTAGCCATGTACAACTCAGATCCAGTGTGCACTTGTTAGGATGTGCGAGTTCGCTCTAGTGGAAGGCTCAAAAAAAGCAAGGGGTAGGCCCAAAAGGACATGGTTGGAAGTAGTGAAGAAAGATATGGGGACTTATGATCTCATTGAGGGTATGGCACTTGGTAGAGGGGAATGGCAGACCAGGATTTATGTAGCTCACCCCAAATAGTTGGGAAAAAGATCTGATGATGATGATAAGGATGTATATATATTGTTGCAAGACAAGAAAGGATAAGTTGGGATGGATGAGTGGCAAGACAAGAAAGGACAACATTCAAAATGAAGCCGTTTGAGGGAGGGAACTTAGGTGTGGTTTTAATAGACGATAAGATGAGGGAAAGTAGACTTAGGTTTGCTAGCCATGTGCAGCGTAGACCTAATACAACATCAATTAGGGCGTGTGATTTGATCTGAGCAGAAGGCTGTAAAAGGGCAAAGGGGTTGGTCCAAGCAGTCATGGATAGACACTATGAGAAAAGATTAGGGGATTTATGGTCTTACTGAGTTGTGGCCCATGATTTAGGATAAGGCTCTGATGATAATGATGATGATATAATATATATTGTAGCTTATATAACGCGTAATTATATGTTTTAGATGCATCAATACATGTATATACCATACCATAATCAGTGTTACATGGATACCACCACAACTGTTGTGTCTAATATGTGTTTGAAGAAGCCAACATCCTAAAAAGGCAATTGGATGAGACACGTCTGGTAAAGCCATTTTTTGAATAAAATACTAGAGTTTTAATATAATTTCTTCTTTTATTACATATAAAATGAAGTGGTGGATTGTTAGATTTGGGGCTCCCATGTAAGAGGTTCTAGAATCAAGCTCCAACATGAATTAATGCCACTTTTCGATTCACCTGCAGTGTCCCCTGTTGTTCACATATGTTAAAGTATCGGCACTTGACATGCAACATCAAGCTCCAAGGGAAATGTTGAGTTAACACATATCGTAATGCAAGTTTTACGTTTGTTCATATTATATATTTCATAATATTTTATCTTTATATTTACAAGTGTCTTAATGATAAAAAAGAAAAGGAAAAAGTTTATATAAGGATGCAACCTTATAATGTAGAACTACAGATGCACCTCAAATATCCATCGGAAATGGTAGTTTTAATGTTGAAAAACCCTTTGATTGATTATCTCGACATCGAGATGTATGACCATGAACAATAAAAAGATTTTAAGTATCAGAAATAGTCCATTTTACAACATATTATCTATGCCATCCATTTTCAAAATTTTAATATGTTTATAGATCTACTTGATTTTAACCATTTTTGAAATTTAAAATTTTATAATTAGATATAAAAATAGATTTTGAGATAAATCCTAAGAACATTTTACATCAAAATTATATACCATGGTAAAATTTGAAGGTGCACCTTACCTCTACAGCAACAGATGCATCCGTATGCCAACTGCACCCAAAAGAAAAACAATAGTATGATAGGATTATCTAGTACTTATCATTTCAACAACAATGCCTAGGAAAGAAATTTGGGGGGAGGAATGGGTGAAGATTGTGAAAACCAAGTGTTACTATTGGAAGTGGAAACCTGTTCTAAGCTCGGGGTCCTTGTCTGCCAATGATCTTCAGAAGAAAAAGGCTGGGGTACTTGTAACAAAGGATTAATAGTCCTCAAAGGAGCACTTTTACTTTGTTCTCCTATCATATAACGTGCAGAGAATCCCCAAGTCAGTAATGGTTGATGCCAGTGTTTGAAAACTCGTCGAGTCGAGCCGGACTCGCCCGGTTCGACTCGGGAATCGTCTGCTACCAAGCCGGTTCCACAAAAAAACCGGCAATCGCCCGTGTCTAGAGAGAACCGGGCGATTCCCAGTAGTGAATCGCGAGTCTCACCAAAAAAATATGTAATTTTTGGGTTTACACGTGTCCGCCTCACGAGAGCAACACTTGGCCGCCTCACGAGAGCAACACATGGTAATTCACCTCACATGTCTTCCCCTTTGCTTTTCTACACGCTCATTAGAATATCTATTACAAAGGACTTTATTGAGAACCAAGCGACGCTCATCCTTCGATGTGGGATAATTCCCACAAAAAATCATTAAAGCAAGATGTTTGAATGGATATTATTATAGAATCAATTAAAATCACATGAAGCGACGAGGCCGTGTTGGTTCACAACACGGATTTTGCGGTGGACGTCTAGGGTTCGAACCCCTTAGCGCACAACCAAAATTTTTTTGAGTTCAAACCCCTTAGCGCACAATAAAATTTTTTTTGAGTTCGAACCCCTTAGCCTTAGCGCACAACAAAAAACATTTTTAGTTCGAACCCCTTAGCACACAATAAAAATTTTTTTGTTGTCAAAAAAAAAAACTAAGGCAGAAAATACTGTTGTAAAAAAATAGAAAAAATATAAAATAAAAGGCTTTCCAAGATAAAGATAAAAAAAAAAAACAACATTTTTTTATTTTTCTTGTAAAAAAAATACCATTTGTTGTGAAAAAAATAAACAAAGGCAGAAAATACTATTGTAAAAAAATAGAAAAAATATAAAATAAAAGGTTTTCAAGATAAAGATAAAAAAGATAATGCAACATTTTTTTATTTTTCTTGTAAAAAAATACAAGGTAATATAATAAGTATTTCTTGCAAAACAATAAAACAAAAGGCAT